CCTAGTTGTAGGACTTCCATTCAGCTAGATTTCAGGTGGTTCTGATGGTTGTTCTGAAATTTAGTTGTAATTTTGATGTGGCTATGGGAGGATTTGAGTATCATGTTTTTTTTATACTACCATCTTGACTGGAAGGCCCAGTAGCCATTTTTAAACAATCAATATGTAAAGAAGGGTGAAGCAATTACTCTATTTAAATACTTAAAGCAAAGTTATTGTTTTTATAGTAATTACTCAAGCAATTGTGCTTGTATAAAGCTGCCTTTTGTGGGCTTTAAATCTTCATTTTTTCCTTTTTATGGCATAAATACTTCTGAATCATTGTTCTAAAAATTTAATTCTGCAGAAAGAACAATATATATATTGAACAACACAAATTCCCCAAGCAAAGTTGCGTAAAATAAAATCCCAAGGATTCTACTCTTGTTACTATGAAATCTTTCACTGTGATGCTAGAAAAGACAAGCTTATATCAAGTTCCTTCTGTTACTGCTGGTGGAGCCAAAGTGCTGTGCAGCCATGAGCATAGCCATGCACCTCCTTGAAGGTGAAGACTCACCCATCCTAGCATGTGTAGCCCAGCCTTGTGCTTGGCACATAAAACTTGCTAAAAAATATTTGTTGAATGCAAAAGTCCAGTACCTCCAAAAGGATAAAAAATAAAATATACTGTATAATGTTGGTATTTTAAGAGTTTACTTTGTTTCTACCACTATTTCTGAGAAGAGCTATGCATAATAGTTAATTTATGTCAATTAAATATGTCAGTCTTATTTTTCAAGATCCCTACCAAATAGGCAGGAACATTTTATAATTAGTGTGACAATTACTTATAGGAAGAAACATACTTCTAAAATGTTGGAAAATTGTTCTTGTGATGAGTTTAAGCATTTTTCCTGTAATTTTTATTATTATATTTGCTTTAAAGTGTCCTTCAAAAATAAAAAATAAAGGAGCTTCAGAGTTTAACTCTTCATAAAATCTAAATTTATAAAATACAGAAAATAATGAGACTTTTTAAAAGATGAGTTTGTTAAAACAGAATCTAGAGAAAAATTCAGGAACACCAATTACAGAAGATATGTTGTAGTAAACTTCTTTAAAGTGTTGTGAATTTTCTGAGGCTTGGTATACATAATCCAACCTCATTATAAGAATATAACGCAAAACCAAAATTCAAGTGTTTTCTCATTATCTGCCTTTGAGCCACACCCCCATGTCTGCACACAACCCAGGGATGACAGTGGGTGAATCATTAACTGCTGTCTATTTGTGCTAATGAGAGCTGTCACATAGCCAAAAGGTAAGAATTTATTTCATCATTTCTGTCACCAACCACTAAATAAGGGTAATCAAATATGAATCTATCTAATGGTCTCTCCTGCCTTTTTTCTGTCTCCAACAGTTTATATGAGGATAAGTTTTGTAGGACTGCTAAACTGTCATCCGTGCTGTCAGTGTTAAAAAGGATATATCGTAAATTTCAGGCTTCCATTAAAAACCATTTAGAAATCTTTAGAAACTCTTACTGGATTTATCTAATCACATGGCAGGGTAATTGCTTATATTCATTTAATGAATGCTGAATTACCTGGATTTTGCTAACCATGTCACTTTGGCCAAGAAACCTCTCTCTTGGGCCACTTTCCCTATGTGTGAAGTGACGATTTAGACAAATGGTTTCCAAGATGCCTTCTTGCTTAATAATTCCATTTCAAAACTATGTCTTCCTATACCACTCTGGGTAGAACAATCACTGTTTCTTACACAGCATGAAAATAACAAAGTTATTGCCTCTAAATATTCCTGTTTTTAAGATTCAAGGGTTGCTGCCTTAATTATTACCATCCAGGAATTTGATAAGCAAGTCCAACTTCACCATACCCATCCATACTCACCATGATTTTATAGATTTGGATAATATTCTTTTTCAGCCTTGACTTCTAGCCTGAAAGGCCCACATGTCTAGTGGCCTGCCTTTTCTGGGTCACTTTCGCTATTCTTCTTTGGGCTTTCAACTCACCTTTTCACCTGAAATGCAATAAGCAAACTATACATAGATTAGGAGAGACAAGTTTTGTGCCTTGTTTCTTGCAATGGTTCAAGAGATTCTCTGCTTAATTTTCAAAACCCTTCCTAATATCAGCATTTTATAGACACTTTTGACTGTGACCACACACTGGACTGGTACCTACAGACGTCTCTTTCTGAGCTTAAATAATACCAAGGAAACCATCATATTCATAGTTTTGACTGTTTATCCCCAAACCTCACAATTTCTTGTTCATCACCTGTAAGTCACTTCTGTCTACTCACAACACTATGTGAGAACTCCAGTTTACCTTGTTAAGCTAGCACTAGATTTCTACTTTACTTGAATATCATCTCCCCTTTCCAGAATTAACACCAATTTTAATATGACAAATCCTAGTCGAGATCCCTGGAGATCCGCCATCCTCCATCCCTTGTTTTCAATTTAAGTTGTTTGGAGACTTGGGAACAGTCTGAATGCATCAGTTTTAAGAAAACATCTAGTTCAGCCTCTATCCAAGGAAGGACCATATTTACAAGATCTCTGGGATTGTCATCTAGCTTGTGCATCAATTATGTTTTCTTATTTTCTATATTCTTGATGCTCTGGCATCTGGGGCCTTACCAATAGGTGAGGGGCTGCCCCACCCAGGGTTAGCTAATTCCTAGAGACAGCAAAACACTCCCTTCAGGAGCCTGCCTTTTATTTGCAAACCAACCCATTCAGAGCCCCAACCTCCACTACCAGGCTCTCACACTCCACATCAATATTTCCGTCCTAATCACCCCAGGGCTAAGTACCAAACAACTGGGGACAGCCTCTTACTTCAGAGTCTGCTAAAATTATCCAAATTAGCCAATCCTAACTATGCGTACCCTGCCCTGTGTGTGGAAACCACAATAAAGGCTCATGCCCATGCTTTCCCCTTGCTCTGTTTGGCTCCTGACCAACCCCAGTGCTTGCCAGTGTATTCCTGTGGCATGATATGCCCTCTCCTCTTCTGAACTGTAACAAACTTTTTCAGTGGCAGTCGTCTCCTGATCTGTTGGCTCCCCATACTTGAATAATAATAAAACGTACATTTTAAAACACCCGTTAGAACAATTCCAGGGGCCAGAAGTTCATTTCTTTGTAAGGCAGCAATTTTATCTGTGAACTAATAATAGAAAAGTAATTTTTTAAACAAATATACCTTTATTGATTTCAGGGAGAGGAAGGGAGAGAGAAATAGAAACATCAATGATGAGAGAGTCATCGATTGGCTGCCTCCTGCACACCCCCGACTGGGGATGCAGCCCACAACCCAGGCATGTGCCCTGACCGGGAATCGAACCGAGATTTCCTGGATCAGAGGCCGATGCTCGACCGCTGAGCCATGCCAGGCCGGGCCAATGTAATTTTTTTAATAGACTTTGTTTTTTAGAACAGTTTAGATTTACAGAAAATTTGAGAAGGTATTAGAGTTCTCATATATCCTCTTGAAGTCTCTCCTGTTATTAAATCTTACATTAGTGTGGTATATTTGCTACAAGTAATAGGTGAATATGGATACATTACCTAAAATCCATAGTCCATTCAAATTTCCTTAGTTTTTACTTAATATCCTTTTCCTGTTCCTGGATCCCACATTACATTTACTTGTCATGTCCCCTTAGGCTCCTCCTTGGGAGTGAGTTTCTGTGACTTTTCCTTGTTTTTTGTTTTGTTGGTTTTTAAAATTTTTATTGCTGAAAGTATTACAGATGTTCCCCTTTTTTTACCCCATTGACTTCCTCCACCCTGCTCCTGCCCCACTCCCCCAGGCCTTCACCTCACTATTGTCTGTGTCCATGGGTTATGCATATATGCATGTAAGTTCTTTGGTTAATCTCCACCCCCCCTTCCCTCTGAGTATCCTCAGTCTTTTCCATGCTTCCATATCTCTGATTCTATTTTGTTCATCAGTTTATTTTGTTCATTAGATTCCACATGTGAGATCATGTGATACTTGTCTTTCTCTGACTGGCTTATTTTGCTTAGCATAATACTCTCTGGGTCCCTTGTTTTTGATGACCTTGAGTTTGGGAGAATACTGCTCAACTATAAATCTACTTTTGACCCACCCTGTATCTGCAGAAGTAAAATTTGGGATTTATGTAAATGAATGTTAATCAAATATATCGATGTTTTCAAAGCACAATGTGTTTGTCTACCAAATAAGCAAAAAATAAAATAAAAAAATACTATACAGGATTCTCTTGTCTACAGGTCAAAAATAGTCTGAAATCCTTAGAAAATTTATAGCAGACATTCTCAAAGAATTCTCTCTTGAGCACTGGTTCTCAAACTTTAGTGTGTATTAGAATCCCCTGAAGGGCTGTTAAAACATATGTTCTTGGGCACTATCCCCAGCAGTTTCTGATTCAGTGGGTCTGGGGTGGGGCCTGAGAATGTGCATTTCTAATAAGTTCCCAGGTGACGCTGATGCTGCTGGTCTGAGGACCACACTATGGAAACTACTGCATTAGAGTCAACAAGAAAGCTACATTTATTAGTGCCTTGATGATTAAGGTGTTTTACATATATTACCTTATTTAACTAGTTATAAAACCTTATCAAAAAGTATGACTATCCCTTTTATAAATGGGGTACCTGGGCTCAGAGAGACTGAAAAACTCTCCAGAGGAGATAACGGAATTAGCAGGTAAAACTACAATTCAGATCTCTGATTCTAATGCCCATTTTTTTTTGGTACAATATACTGCTCCCTTGTTGATGAAGGAGTGAAATGTATGCATCCTTGGCATGTTCATTTGAAAAGGAGACTGTACCAAAGATGTGTACAGTTTGGGTTAGTAGGGTGTAAACTAAAAGATTCTTGCTGAAAACTAGGTAAAGGCTCAGCATGATGGAGAGGATTCATTTATCTCTAAAATTCTGAAATAATCAAGGAGAAAGTGAATTTACTGTATAATTAACAGAACAGGAAAAAAATGTATTTAATATAGTATTGAATATTCCTTAATTACTATTATTTTATTATTCCTTACAGAAAAACACACATTTAAATAAAAGTCTTTAAAAGAATATCTCATTTACATTTAAGTTTAAAGCATCACACTATTCTAAGTGTCTGCCAGTGTGCACTGTATCACCAATCAACCACTACTTACTCTGGTATTGAAGCAACACAGCATAATGGTCTTCAGTAAAATACTCTAACAATTACTAGAACACTTATCTCCTTTCACAAAGCAAATCAAAAGCAATGACATACAAACAAAATAAGCAATTTAAACTTTAAGTGGTACATCTTACAGTGAATTACTAAAAGTGAAGTTGCCAATAATATAAATTTCGGTCACTTTGTTATACTCTATATAAAAAAGGACATGAGACACAAAATTATTGGACTGCAAACTTAAAATAGTTAATGGGATCTAAACTTCAGAATGACAAAAACCCACCCAACACTACGTCTCTATCAAAACAAATATTTTATGTAAGAAAGATTCCCTTTTAAATATCTATATATATTTCCACTTAATACTGTTAATCATACCCATAGTTATACTTATTTAAATAAGAATTAAATTGCCCAAAATGCTGATTTCATATCACAAAACATAAGTGTTTTAAATCACAATTTCTGGGTGATATACTGAATACACTGGTTCCTAAAACAATATTAACAAGCATATTTTTAACAATATATTTTCATCTATAGGTCAGATAAAGCTTTATTAAATGGTAAACACTTTTAACAGTGCAGAAATACAAGTTTCTAAAACAAATACATTCAGAAGATCTGCTGTTCAAATAGTATTTTTTCAAAACCAGGTGGAGGAGTATGATAAAATTCACTGAACTGGCAATCCAAAATTGCACTGTCATCAACTAGAGGTAGAAAAAGATAGAAAATAAATTAGAAGCAAACACCTCAATTTCTATGAACACATAATTATAAAATAAACTAGTATGATTTCCATAATACTATAATATCACTAGGCAAAATGAATAAACACATCTGCCCAAGTTACAAAAATGATCCTACTGGATAAAAACAGTCACAACAAAAAGCAAAATCTATCAAAAACACTGAAAGGCTATACCTTAAAATATTATTAACAATATTTTCTAAAGGGTGTGACTACGGGTAATTTTTTTTTAAAGATTTTTTTATTGATTTTTTTTTTTTTTTAGAGAGAGGAAGGGAGAAGGAGAAAGAGAAACATTAATGTGAGAGAGAAACTTTGATCGGCTCCTACTGGGGATTGAACCTGCAACCTGGGCATGTGCCCTGCTGGGAATCCAGGTGGCAACCTCTTGTGCACAGGATGATGCCCAACCAACTGAGCCACACTGGCCAGGGCGGACTATGGGTAATTTTAATTTTTCCTTATTTGCCAACTTGTATTTTCTAAACTTTCTACAATTAACATATATTACTTGTTTTAAAGTTTCATTTTGAAAAAATTATAGTCACAGAAAGTGGCAAAAATAATATAAAGTCCTCAGTGGTAACATCTTACATAACTACAGTACAATATTAAATCCAGAAAAATGACATTGATACAATACTGTTAACTAGACTCTAGGCCTTATTTACCATCTACATGTTTTTACCAACATTTACCCAAAAGAAATGAACGCATATAGCCATACAAAGACCTAGACATGAATGTTGTAACAGCTATTTTATTTTTATTTTATTATTTTATTTTATTTTATTATTTTATTATTTTTTTATTTTATTTTATTTATTTATTTTTCAATCCTCACCTGAGGACACGCTCACTGATTTTTAAGAGGGGAGAAGGAAAAAGGGAAAGTGGGAGAGAGGGAGAGAGAGATGTGAGAGAAAAACATCTATGGGGTGCCTCCTGTACGCACCTCAACTGGGGATTGAACCCATATCTTAGGTATGTGCTCTGACCAGGAATTGAACCCACAACCTTTCTGAGCCACACTGGCCAGGGCTGTAACAGCTTTATTTTTAATGGCACAAAACTAGAAACAACCTAAATATCCATTAACAGATGAAAGAAAACAAATTGTGATACATCCACACAATGAACTATATACTGTTTGACAAAACACACACACACATAAACAAGACTGAATTACTGCTCATATAACACGAATCAATCTTAAAATAATTATGCTGAGTAAAAGAAGCCAGACCAGACCAAAAAAAAGGTAATACAAATTGCATGATTCTGTTGATATAACACTCTAAAAATGCAAGATAATCTGTAGTGACAGAAAGCAGATCAGTGGCTGCCTGGTTGGGGCTGGAATGGGGAGAGGTGAGCAGGAAGGATTATAAGCGAGGCAGAAATTTTAAGGGTGATAAGTCTGTTGGCTATGATGACTGTGGTAATGACATGGGTGATCACTGTATAGCTACTGTCAAATTGCACAGATATATTTAATGAACATTACTAAATATCTTATATTTCATAATAGATGCTGGGGGGAAAAAGTTAAGTGGTGGATTTGATGTTCTTGCAGTCATTAGTGATTTTAACAAGGGTGGTTTCAGTGAAGTGGTGGTAAAGGCAGCCAAACTGGGTTAAAGAACAAATGAATGATGCAGTAAAGACAGTGGGATAGGCTATTCTATAAAAATGCAGCCATATAGAGAAGAATAAACATAGGATAGTGAGGGGCAGAGTTTAAGGGAGGGGTTTTTCAGATGAGAATGACTCAGAATGTTTATAGGCATTGAAGAGAGAGGTGGATGACATAAGATAAAGATGAAAGAGCTGAAAAAGTGAAGTCCCAGAGTTGGGAAGTTTGAAATCTAGATTACACAGTGAGTTTTCTGAACATGAAGGGTATGACTTCATCTGAGAAGGGATGAAAGGAGGCAAGACTGGAGTAGATCCAGAAAAGCTTCAGGAGGATAAGGGAGGGAAGTGGAATTCACTCCCAATAGCCTGTTTCTTTATAAATTAGAGGGCAAGGTCATCTGCGAGAATGGAGTAGAAACTCAAGAAGCACAGTGAAGGTCCAGGATGTTTAAAGATGTAAAGGAACTGCCAAAAAATATTGAGAGCTTAGATACACTGGAATTCAACTTTGCAATGACAGTTCTCTTCAGTGTTATCCAGAGACTGAGTGAAGAGGAGACACAGTGAATGGCTGGATTATCTGGAATTAGGGATGGGATGAGCACAAAGGATAAGGAGCCCAAGTTTTACTTTTATCTGTGACAGTATTACACCACTTGATTTAATTGGACTGATTTATCAATTCCAACTTACAAAACATACTTTACTATATTTAACTTACTACCTATAACTTTGTTACATTAAAAATAATGCCGAATCAAAGAAACAATTTAGAGTAATAATTTTATTTGCTACTCATTTATATAACTCAGTCATTCTACTGATATTCATCTCATTTCTCAGGCGAAACTATTTTGAATATTAAGCTACATTTCCATCTATTTAAGTAAATAAAGGAATTGCTTTTAGGTGTACCCAATATGGAAAGAAAACTAACCTAAATTGAGTTGAAAAATACACTTTTTGCCCAGGTGGCTTGGTGGGAGCATTGTCCCCTACACCAGAAGGTTGCGGGGTGGATTCCCAGTCAGGGCACATACCTAGGTTGTTGGTTTGATCCCTGGAACATGTATGGGAGGCAACCGATTGATGTTTTTCTCACATCAATGTTTTTTTCTCTCTCTCCCTTTCTCTAAAATCAATAAACATCCTTGGGTGAGAATTAAAAAAAAACACTTTTACATGCAGATACAGAAGGTAAAATCAATGAAAAGTAATTTTTAGAGAAAAGAAGACTAATAAAAACCTTCATTAAAAAGTAAAACATAGGCTTTGGTTGTTATTATCATATTATTAAATATTTATATTTATTATTGTTTATTTTTCTGACATCCCAAACAGTATGTCCTCACTAACATTGCTAATTTTCTATGAAATTACTACAAAAAGTTAATAATTAGTTTTCATTATGGCTCAAATCTAAGAACTTAAATAAAGCAGTTAAATGAGAAAATACTTTTAGATCTACTAAAACCATACACCTGTTGACTTAAACTTGGTAACATAAAAAATAAAGTAGAACAGAGTAATAAGGCATTCTGGCTATGGGTTTTTGTTTTGGTTGTTTTAAAGAGAGATAGCTTATTTTTAGATATATACATAAAATATTTATGCATAAAATGATATAATATTTGGCATTTGTCTCAAAATAATCAAGGAGAGGAGATGAAATCATTAGGAGTGTTGGGGTTAGATGAAATCTGATTGGCTACAAGTTAATAATTGTTTGAAGATAGGTGATGAGTACATGAGGGTTCATTATATTATTCTCTTTATTTCTAAACATGTTTGAAATTTTCCATAATAAAAATTAAAGTAATTAAGTGGTATAAGGTTATCTCTTAAATAACCCAATTCTTGCAGGACATACTTGTACAGAAACTGTAATACTGATACACTTTTATTGGGAATAAAAACCTTCCTTACTTCTACAAATTAGGATTATGATATCCTACTGAAGACATTCCCTATAAAAAGTACTTAGAAGAAGTTTACATATATCTAATAATATTCAGAAATATTTTAGCTTACCATAAACAACTGGATACACTGTCCCTCGTATACCTGATGCTGGACAATGCATGTTTTTTCCATTCAAATATACATTTAATTCTACATGGTCATATGTAATACCCTAGGAACAAAAGAAAATATTAAAAATGGTAAAAATATAAATGTTTCTAAAAGCCTGACTAGTTGGAAAGCACTAATTGTGGAACATGAAACACCAAAAACTAAACAGGGTCATAATAGCTTTCCTTAAAGGTTTACAAATTAGTAGACTTCTACTTGAACTGAGCTAAAAAATATGGCGGTGATTATGAGAAAGTAGGGGGAGGTGAAATCCCAAGAGTCTACATTAGAGATAAAACAAATGACATCAGTTTAAATCCTAGTATTATATTTAGATGATCTGGATTTTATATTTTGAATATTTAATATGACAACTACTGGCATACTATGAACAGAGAGAACTTTTTAACCCATACAGAAACACTGTTTTCTATATGCAGAATTTTATCTGAAGTGGGGGAAACACTGAAGTTTTCACCATTAGGGCTTACTATCTGTCACTGCTTTCATGTTGTATCAAGTGTCTTGATACAACTTATTTCCAAAAAGAAATGCATTTCTGTATTTCTTACCTTGGTTTCAATTGTGTCAAGTGTACTACCAAGGTAAAAGTGGTATTTACAACTAAATATACAGTTGACCCTTGAACAACATGGTTTGAACTGTGTAGGTCACTCATATGCAGATATTTTTCAATATATACAAGTAATGTTTTCAATCCATGGTTGGGAGTTGCAAATGTGGACCAACTGTATGCATCGCTCTATGCCATTTTACACAGGGGACTTGAGCATCCGTGGATTTTGGTATCCACAGGAGGTCCTGGAACCAATCCCCCATGGATACTGAGGGAAAACTAAATTTTCGGAGAGTCAAAAGTTATATGTGGATTTTCGACTGTGCAGGGTCAGTGTCCCTAACCCCTGCATTGTGCAAGGGTCAACTATAATTGGTAATTACAATCAAGTTGAAAAATAGAAAAGCAGCAGTTCAAAAGATTGAAAACAAAACACTGGTATAAAAAAATATTACTTTGTGCATTAGTGGTATGAAATCACAATTAATAACAATTATTACTATTAAAATGCTGGAAAACACTTAGATAGCAAGCTCCATTCTAGGCACTTCATATTTACTCATTTAATCCTCACAAGATAGGCACTATTATTGTCTTCATTTTACAGATGAGGTAGCTAAAGCACCCTGAGGTTAAATAATTTACCTAAGGCTGCACAGCTGGCAAGTGGCAGAGATGGGATTTAAACCTATGTGGAATGGTTTTGGAATACTTATTCTTAATTGGCATGTAATTTTAAACTTTTAAAACACTCTTTAAAATTTTACACAATAGTTACTGACTGATGAAAAAAGAGAGCTTTCTTTGGAAGAATTAAAATAGAAAGCAGAGATTTTTCAACAGAGAAATCACCACAGACCAAGAAGCAACCACTTCAAGGATTTCTGACTGTGGATAAATTATACCAACTTAAAAGCTTTTTAGGGGTAGAAAAAGATCTTACAGATGATCTAGTCTTTACTCCCTTACTTTCCAGTTAAGACAGCAAAGGCTTAGATAAGTCAATGTGTTAAGTGCAATAAAATATTTTCTTAAAAGTTTAGCAATGCCAAGGTTAAACAATGATTTATTAAAAGTTAAGGAATATTGAGAAAGATAAACAGTTTGCCTTTGTTTCATTTCAGTATATGTATTTAAATATAATAATAAAGCTAACTAATAGCTGAGATTAGCTTTTTTAATGAAAAGGTCTGTTTTCATTTAAAAAACAAAAACATAATTACATAAAAAGCAAAATGTTAAAATTAACTCTCTCTATAGGACTACAGGAAATCTAGCAGTTCAAATCAGGTTGTAATCCAGGCACCCTTCACCACCTGGTGGCAGCATAACCTATTGCAAGCAAGCAAGTTTTAAACCCAAGCCTCCAGCAGAAGGGCAAAATCCCAATACTTCCCAATACCAAAGAAAGAAGTGAAGAAGGATATGAGAACCCCAACCCCCATCAGTAGCGTTTGGTTCAAATATTTTCAAACTTAATCTGTCCTTTCACATGATCTAGATATTAGGCTTGATTTTGACATAATGATGCATTTATCAATAATTGTTTGCAGGTTTAGTGAACAGACTCTGAAATTAAACTGTCTGTATTATAACCCTGGGATGACCCTGCACAAGAAGTTACTTAACTTCTCCTAATCTGTAAAATGGTGATAATAATTCTACCTATTTCATAGGGTCATTATGAGGATTAAACAATTTAATCCCTGACAGGCACTTAAAACAGTGCCTGTCCCATAAAAAATGCTAGAGAAGTGTTGGCCATTATTATTGCATAAATTTTTATCAAACTTCTCTACAATTAAACTGAAAAATGTAATTTTAGAATGTAATTTGCACTTTTCAAAACTATTTATAAAAGTAAAAAATAAGCATAGACTGTTTCAGGTAAGCTTTCCTAGTGCTGTAGTAGGCTACTGGTATTGTACGATTATTGTGTGAATATAATCATTTGGTTAAATGTTGAAAGCTTATTTTTCTTGATTTCTCCTCAGAGAATGGTATATGACTGAAATTCTACACATATGAGAATGTTTTTCCTGGCTTATAATCCATTCTTCTTTCCTATGCCACTGTCAGCAATTTGATGAAATTTGTTCTCAAGTGTTTGAACTAGGAAGATAAAATTAATATGGTAGGGTAATGTTTTATTTTCTTGATTTGGCATATATTTCATCTTTTTTAGTCCTCCTTTTATCAAATGGGCATGAAAATCAAAGTCTAATTTAATAATGCTGACAGACTAAAAATGACATTCTTAAATCTGTCAATTTGTGGTACCAGTCATCTCAATGAATGAAATAGGAAGGCAAGAATAACACACAGAAGTTCAGTACATTAACAAAGAAAAACATTTGTTACTGATTATCCTTTCTCGTGTTCGAATTTCATCTTTTAGTGTAAACAGGTTGACAGCATCAACTTGACTTCAAGATTCTCTTTCAAGAAATAACCATTTGAATAACGGTGTTTCATATTATGAACATCTGGCAATGATCTACTAATACAGAACCAACTATTCAAAAGAAGAGAAAAAGTCAGATTTTAAAAAAAACTTTGTCTTTCATCTTTTTTCTTTAGTCAATTTAGGGGGGAAAACACTTTAACAATTTACCTATTTAAAAACCAAGTGTTCTTCATATTTTTTAAATTGCAGAAAAGAGATCAGACCATAATTTAAAATCTTTCCACATCTTTCTTCATTTTCTCCAAAATACTGTGCATTTCTTTAATTCAATAGCCTGACTTTACCTTGCATGTGTCATCTTATTATTAGAAACTTTCCCTCATTACTTAAAGATTCCTTTCAACTTGGTACCAGAGCCAGGAACTTACAGTTCTGTGTCTAAGGGCACCTTTGCTAAAGGAGAATCAAGAACTCTGTTCTCAATCAATAGCTGACAGCCTGAACTCAGTGTATAAGGTTCTTGGATAACACGATATGACAGGAAGTATCTGGAAAAGCCAGAAAGGGATCTTTGGATAACATTTTCAATAGGGCAGCTTTGGTAAAGTCTTAGGATTTCAAGTCCATTTCTTTGAAGAGTTCTGAAAGTGAAGTAAGTTTAATAAGATTAAATTTAATGAAGACCAACACTCCTGATAAAATGTGGTTATTCTTTAACAGAAATTCATAACAAATTAAGTAATAAATGTCAAAATTTTCTGTAAGAGCTCTCCAGCTGCAAAAATACCTATTATTTCCTAATATAAGGGTGAATGAACTTTTAAAATTGTGGGCCAAGATTTCTCTGATGTTAGAGAAGCAGGAAATGTTGATCAGCAGCCAATCTGTCATTAACTCTCCTGGATGGAAATACGGGCTCACACTGATATCCCTCACCAGCAACAGCTGTAGAAAGCAGACAGTTCCGTAAGGAGGCAGCATCTACACCAAGTGCTCCCTTTGGAAAATGTACCACCTCATTAGATATAATCCCAGTGCTTTGAAATTCAAACCACAAACTCACAGGCAAAAAGTACATATACTAAAAGCAGTTCAAGTTTAATAACATACAGTGGAAGACAACTCCACAAGAAAACTCACCACCACGTCTCCCTCCTGTGGAAGGCTGTTGGCGGGCAGCCTGCTTTTCTCCTCGTTGTTGTGGTACAGAGCTCCATCACTTCTCATCACCAGACTGTGCACATCTCGGCCGAGGGGAATCTGATTCAAGTTAACTTTCTGAGTTGCAACACCAATACCCCAGATTCCTAAAAACATAATGAGATTCCTAAAAATGTAATGAACTATTTTTTGTTAATCTTTATTTTCAAAAAAATCTTTAAAAAATAGTTTGCAAATTATACTAGGTTCTCTGCAGACACAGCATAGCCTAGGAGATGAGAGTGGGCCTTGGAGTTGTACTGCCTAGGTTTACATCCTGATGTAGCGATGTCATCTTGGATAAATTACTTAACCTCTTTCTGCTTACTCACCTGTGAATTGTGGATTCTAACAGTACTTACCTCACAAGGTTATTATAAGATATAGTGAGATCATTCAAGTAAAGCACTTGGAACTGTGCAAGAATTCAAAAAAATATGTAAGTAAATATTAAAAAATATACTAGCTACTTTCATTCTTCTCTAAAAATGATTTTTTAGAAGCTACACATTGAATTTAAAGGGCCTGGGGTTCTATTTCTAGCACACTATCTCTGAGAAGTGGGAAATTACTATCTTTAGTTTTTACATCTTTAATATGTGACAAATTACATATGACCCGGTCAATATCATGGACAGAAAATTATTGATGAAGTGTAAAATTATTTTCTTATCCAATACCTAAATCAGTGACTTTAAAACCTTTTGGCCTAAGCTCACTTTTAAAGCAAGCAGTCCTCAGAATAAATAGCGCTCAGCCAAACAGAATACCTAGATCTCTGAATTTTGTCTCAAACTGTTTCCTTCCCAGTTTTTTTTTTTTTAATCAAAATCAGTTAGGACAAATACTATAAATGGAAAATCTGAAGACCACGTTGTCAATCAATTTTTCTGGATTGAGTGAGACCATCAAAAAGCTGCACGTCACCCTGCTGGTGTGGCTCAGCAGTTGAGCATCAACCTAGGATCCAGGCTATCCTGGTTCGATTCCCGGTCAGGGCACATGCCAGGGTTGTGGGCTTGATCCCCAATGGGGGGAGTGCAGAAGACAGCCTATCAGTGACCCTCTCATCATTGATGTTTCTCTCTTTCTCCCCCTCTCCTTTTCTCTCTCTGAAATCAATAAAGATATATTTTAAATAAAAGCTGCATGTCTGAACTTCACTGTCTTGTCCTCCTAAATAAGTTGACTATTATAATTTATCCTCCAAAGTGAGATAATTTTAAGAGTGACAGGAGGTAATATAACTAATTTCACAGCACAACAGTTCTAAATAGGGTTATAGAGTCTCCTTACTCCTAAAGAACTGTGTATGCTGTGATATACTTTGGCACAGTTGTCTCAAGCTTTCATTGAGATCAATGCAACAAATTCCAATAGCACATTTATCCTAGGGCTATCACCTTTTACAGAAAATCCACATAAAAATTCATGTTACATTTAAGGCTCAAGAAAATATCTGCTTCTCTTGAGAAAAGATACATTTTACTTCAGAAGATCACAGTAACCAGAGACATTTTGCAGCCAGTCAGTAAACTTAGAATTGGAATGGAGGACAGATTATATTTATTTCATACACTTAAGAAAATCAGTATTTAAAACTAATAAGAAAACAATATCCAGAGGAATGTTTTATATCATTCAAGCCAGTCAGGTAAGAGTAGGATTTACTCCACTCTAGTTTTCCTATTATGTACCTATATTACTCTTGCTGTATTTCACTAGAAGTTTCTTCATAATAAAGCTTAAAAAAAATTTTCCCCATGCCCTGGCTGGGTAGCTCAGTTGGTTACAGCATCATCCCAATATGCCAGGGTTGAGGGTTGGATCCCTGGTCAGGGCACATACAGAAATCAACAAATGAATGCATAAATAAGTGGAACAATAAATTGATATTTCTCTCTTTCTCTTTCTAAAATCAATCAAACAATAAAAAAAATTTCGCCATATTTAATATTGCCACAAGTTAACCAATTTTTAACTATTATGATACTCAATGTAGAATTGTTATACAATTCAAAAAACTCCATAAATTTTTCAAGAAAGCATAGACTTTAGAATTCTATCAGAATTCTAAATCTGCTGATTGCTTCAGATAATACTGAATCAGGGTATCTTAACAAGAGTTAAGAAAAAAACTCAGGATCATAAGATTGATTTTATCCTAAAATAAATAGTAAAAGTCTATACCTTATATGCTTGACCAAATGAAATGGTGCACCTAGCTGCCATTAATAATTAACTATATTAATAATCATGCTAGTGCCTTACAGTGATCTAGTACGTCCTGTCTTTAAAACACTTTAATAAATATAGCTCATGTGAAACAGGAAGGGCAGCTCCCTTAATCCCATTTTATAGATGTGAAAATTGAATCTAATTTAACTAAATTAACTAATTAAACCAGAATCACACAACAAGAGGTGGAAGGAAATATCTACTAAGTAAGAGCTTAGACCTTTTTCATAACCTCATTAATCTTTTTCATATATTGAAAATTACTCCTAATATTTAGAACAATTAGTACTATAATAGTAAAGTACCATTATACCAACCTGTGGACTGGATTTTGAATTCAAAGTAGCTTTTGTTTTGATGTAAAGGTGCACTGGCTAAACAACCTCCTGTCCCACATATTCTTCTTCCATTTTTTACAATAACAACATCTGTTCCTAAACAAAAAATGCAGAAACTGTGTAAAGTTTTATATTTTCTTATCCAACAATCAACGTTAATTTCTGTATCACTTTTAGCTCTTGGTCTACAAAAAACAAGTATACTACATATACTTTGAAATATGAAAATAATGATAAATTATTTAAATATTTAATTCACTATTGTTTCCTGAGAGAACATTTATATTTAATATTCATTTGTACCTAGAAATCTTGTTTAATTAGGCAGTTTCGAACTCTGAATTATGCTGAATATTTCAAATACTTTAAAAATAAAAATAGATTACCTTTCTTTAATTTTTAGCCAATAAATCAATTTGATTTCATAAATCTCTTAAATAAAAGCATAAACACTTAGAGACTATGGTAAATTAGTATAATTTTTAATTCAATCCAAATGAATTAAAACTCTACTAAAAACTCACTGAATAATTTCTAGGTACAAAGTACTATGCTAGTACATTAGTCGAGTAAGAACTGAAGAGTACATGGAATATGGAAAAAAAACATACATCTTTGTTCTTGAAATAAGTAACATTAAAAATGCTAATTTTAGGATCTTAAAAATGTTTATAAGATAGCTATTGTCAATCATATTGCAAATATGTAATAAAGGTTTAACATCATTAAAAGCACTTTATTTTCATGGAAATTTTCAGTTTAGCTCAAATAACATTGATAGATGAAACTAAGAAAAACTGTCTCTTGATAGTGTGACCCCAATACCAATTCTTTTCCAAATCTTGATCAAGGAAAGACTATATCAGAGAACATGAAGAGACTTCATATAATTCTATTATGTAAGAAATATACCATAACACCAAGGTGTGTGACTCCCAAGATCTGTGGCCAGTATAACCATTACACTTGTAATAAGTGTGTAAGCCAAGAAGATCTGGTTTAGGACTAATGGGACTCCTTCTGAGGGGGTTAAATAAAACTAGGGCATAGCAACAAAAAGTATTAGCAGGGAGGCAGTTATCTCATTAACTCACTACTGAATTTATGTTTAAACAAAAATTATTTGAGATACATACATAATAGAAATGCAAAATTTTCAACCTCAATCACAGTTCTAAATTTTCAGACTCTATCACAGACACTCTCTCTTAAATAAAGTAAAACTAAGATCCTATTATATGATTATTAAAAATTCACTAGCATCCATTTATTTCTCATTATAAATGTTAAACTCTAAAATCTGAGTAACTTTATAAATAATTTACATCTGGCTGCAAAATATATCTCCAGCAATTTAAACGGAAGAGCACCCAGGACTCAGTTCCTCCTTGATGGCAAAGACCATGTAGTGTTTGGCATCTAGCAGATGCTCAGCAAATAACTGATATAGAAATGAATGAATAAATATGCTCTGCTAAGCACTTTGTAGTGGACATGTAGCATCTGTTTTCCCTTTCCCAACAGCCTTCCCTCTGGCGATCAAAACAGTTCCAAGGAAGTTGACTCAATCTCTGGCTTCAGGGGTACAGCTTTGACCTAGGTTAAGTCAATCAGTGCATTCTACATTTCTTGGCCACAGTGATGGAGAGAAAAATGGTTATATGACCTAAGCCACTAAAATAAAAGACAGTCTCAGGACTTTTTCAGAAAACAAAGGGATAAAGACACACTCTCTCATTCTCGCTGAACCTAAATGGGGAAGCCCAGGGAGCTCCTGCAAGTTATCATGGAAGCCAGCCTTCAGGACTAAACAGCAGAAGGCAGAGGAGAAAAGAAACAGCCTTTCCTGAAGCTTGTGCTGCCTCTGTACTTTTTTCAGTTACATGTACCAATAAATTTCCTTCATTGTTTAAACAATTCTGAGTTGTAGTTTTTACTACTTGTAACTAAAAGCATTCTAAGTAAAACACGTTTCAAAGAATTATACAAATAAATGGTATTGTTTTCCTTAACTGGCAATACTCTATGGTTCCCATACATACTAAAATCTTCTAATACCAAGCTTCTATAGTAGATAACTTACTATCTTGGATATCACCCTAAGGTGCTGTTAATGGAAGTATCAGAAGACCCTCAATACAATATCTAGTCTACTCTCAGTTGGAACTACAAAACCACCTATGAGCATAGTTATTATTCTCTAACTTCAATATCATTCCTTATCTCCAAGGCATTCTGCTAGCTACTGAGATGTTTTATATAAAAAGACGAATATTCAGGGAACATTCTGGAGTATTTGTGAATAATTAGGGAATTATTTTAGGTGTATTCCATTTCTTTCAGAACAAAAATATCCTATATTTGGGTCTATGTAATTTGCATAGTTTTATTAATCAAAAAGTCAAGGCAAATATGAGTACAGTCGGAGCACATATAAACATAATCAAAGCCAGAGGGCCTGGCTCAGTGGTTGAGCGCTGACCCATGAACCAAGAGGTCACTGGTTCCATTCCCGGTCAGGGCACATGCCTAGGTTGTGGGCTTGATCCTCAGTAGGGGGTGTGCAGGAGACAGCCAATCAATGACTCTCTCATCATTGATGTTCCTCTCTCTCTCCCTTCCTCTCTGTGAAATCAATAAAATCATATTCAAAAAAGCAAACAAACAAAATAAACATAATCAAAGAGTATGTTTTAAGGAGGGAGGGCAGGATGGCTGCAGTCTAAGGAAGTTCTGTCTGCTTGCTCCCAGCACCAGACCAGACTTGTGACTAAACTGAAGAACATTCAGTTTGAAAAACCTGCTAAAAAACAGCTGATCTGAAAACTGTGACCGGAAGGCCGAATGCAGAGAGGGGACAGGAAAAGACACGGAGTCGATGAGCCAACTTCTGCAGCTGAACAGCACAGCTGGGAAGCTGGAGGAAAAGTGCAGCAGCGCAGATTCTGCCCACAGGGAGTATGGGGTCTCAGTCTCATGCAGGGATCCCCAAACCAGAGCAACAGAGAAGGGAAGGGGAGCCCACGCAGCACTGGACAGTGGGAATCAGCGGTGATTTGGTCCGCGGGCGGGTGGGGGATCACGGTGACTCAGACAGCATCTGGACCAGCAGAGGTCTGAGTGGATCACTTGGCAATGAATTTGAGCAGCTATTCTCGAAAGAACTTTGGGCAGCGAGCAGGACCGGGGCCAGTAAGGGTGCCCTGGGAAACAGGTGTGATCTTCCCCACCTCCAGCGAAGAGGAGCCACCCCTTCCTCTACATGTGGAATGGTTCTGAGCTGGAAATCTGGGCCCATGTGGCTGGACCTGGCAGCGCAGAGGACTTGGATATCTAGCCTGGGCAGAAGCCCCCCATAGTGAGAACCAGCGGTGCTGTAAGATTAGACCCAAGCCAGGCTGGGGTTTTTTTGTGTGTGTTTTTTGTCCCCTCCTGCCTGGGGTGGAAAAAGGGGGCACCTGTGACCCAGGCAAAGCAGAGGGATTGGAAGCAGAGGAAGCACCTGCCTGCCCCTCCTGCTAGCTACAGGCACCACCCCCAATGCAAATCTGTTTAACCATCCTGACCCGACTGGATACCTCACCAGAGCCCAGTTCCGTGGGGGAAGGGAAAGCAGCTCAGAGCAAGTATATTCAAGGGGCCAGTCCCAAAGCAGACCCAGCCTATGGGATAGGGAGGCCTTGCCCATTGAACTACATGAGATCAGCCCTGTAGGGCTTCAGCCAGGTTGCCCAGGGCCAGACATGGAAAGCAACTCACATTGGCCTGCACCAGAAAACTGCCTGAAAGGCCCAGAACCCAAACACCAAGGGTCCAGATCCAACAATAACTGAGCAAAATCAGTGAGCTCCAGAAATAGATCCCAAGGTTTTTGTTTGTTTTTTCTTTTTCTTCTCTTTTTTTTTTTCCATATTCTCTTATTGCTATCTTTCATTTTAGTCTGGGTTTTTTTTCTCATTCTCTTTAATTTTTTAATTTTAATTTTTAATTCAATTTTTATTTTATTTTCCCATTTTTCTTTTCCTATTCTATATTTTATTTTATTCAATATTATTATTTTTTAAAATTATTAACATTTCATTCATTTTTTCTTATCTTTTAATTTTTAAACTTACCCTATTTCTGGTCTCTTCCTTCTTTGTTTCCATATTCTCTCTTTTTTGTTTTTTTTCTCCTCTAACTCTTTTGGTCTCTTGTCTTCTCATACTCTTGTGCGTGTGTGTTGTTTGTTTTTTAGTCTTTTTGTTGTGGCTGTTAGTTTTATTATTGTTGTTTTGTTTTCGTGTTGTTTTGGGGTTGGTCTGGTTTTATTGTTTAGCACCTGTATAACAGTTGGCACGATGTGGTCGGGGTTGAGACTCACAATCAACAAGCCCAAGGGCTGATCCCACCAACAAACTGTACAACAACAATCAAGACCCAAATTCAACAGGAGAGTCCACATAACCCCCACAAGGGTCATTCCCAGAGCACCCAGCCCAGAAGATCAAGGAGAATACACCACTGGGTCACACAAGAAGGTCAAACTGACCAAGTCAGGAGGTATAGCACTCTTATCTGATACACAGAAACACAAAGAAACAGCAAAAATGGGGAAACAAAGAAACAGGCCCCATATGAAAGAACAGGAGGAATCTCCACAAAAAGAGCAAAATGAAATAGAGGCAAGCAATTTATCAGACAAAGAGTTCAAAGTAACAATTATAAGGATACTCAGACAACTTAGTGAGAACTACAAGCAACTCAATGAGAACTACATCAGCATGAAAACAGATATAGAAACCATGAATAAGACCTAATCTGAAATGAAGAATGACATAACTGATATAAAGAATACCCTGGAAGGAATCAACAGTAGATTAGAAGAAGCTGAGGACCAAATCAGCAAATTAGAAGACAAGGTAAAAAAAATCACTCAGAACAGGAAAAAGAAAAAATACTTAAAAAGCATGAGAACAGTGTAAGGGAACTGTGGGACAACATGAAACCAAACAATATTCATATCATAAGGCTGCCAGAGGGAGAAGAAAGCAAGCAAAGGATAGAGAATCTGAAGAATATTGACAGAAAACTTCCTTAACCTGGTGAACATAAAA